TCTTTCGAATAGTCAGATTGTTATTGTATATTTTATTTTACTTCTATCAAATAAATAACCGCCAAAGGACTAGACATGATAATTCAAAAAATGAGTGAACATGGCTCCTATTCTATGCACTTCCACAGCCTATTGGAGATTTACAAGTTATGAAGGAAAGCAATTTTAATATCACAAATTCTGGAAGTGGCCAATACAAAAAGAAAGTGGCGCACTTCGATCACTATGACAACAATAATGTTGAAACCATTTGCATATCCATGTCATTGATCTTTAATAGATATTTTGAATTTTTCTTCATTTGCATACGGCCAAACATTCCACGAACACACAACAACACTGTAAACATTCTAAAGTAGCCGCACAACAACGTAAAAAATCTAAACAAAACAGGCCACAACTATGAGATTTTGTTTCATCGGCAAGAGTTGGACTTGTTTTCGTTTCATTCTGAAAAGATGGTGGCTGAGCAGGATCATCAGATGAGATTTCATATGCATCAGCTGCTGAATCATTTGGTTGCGCGGTTGAATACGCTTGAGGCACTGCAAAAGGTGTATCAGATTTGTCTGTTGTCATTTTTGTTTGCTGATATAGATATTGTGTGTATCTATCTCGTCGATGTTTTTATATACGCACATGACGCTATGATGACGTTCTACGCTTATTTATCTTTACCAAAACAAGATCAAAGGTAGATGTAGAAAAATGTTTTGAAATCAAACAACTATGATTCATTTATGCAAAGTGGTGAGATGTAGAAAGGTATGGATTTCATCGAAAATTTTGCTAATCAAAACAGATTGTTACACAAAGAAATTTTTATGTCATGCATTTCTCACTAACATGAATACTTTTAACTTAGCAGTGAAAACTCATCACTCAATGTTTTGGTACCATAACTATACCAGGAAGATATAGTAACTTTTAATAATACCTACCATTGACAAATCTATTATATATGAATATGTAGATCAATCGCCCGGCAGAAAGCTTTTATCGTTAGTACATCATTTTCGAGATTGACTGTACTCGTATCATTTATTCTCTGTTATATCTTCTCTTTGTTACATAAAAACCCGTATTTAGCTTCTACAGCAATTAGATCTTGTTCTTGTTATCTTATAGGATACTGAGGCATTAAATATTTAAAGAGAATGAATGGGCTCTTTATCCTTTGCGTGAAAAATCTTAAGGAAACTGTTACATGAAAAATCCAGCATTTATTCGAAGATGAGAAATGTTTCACTTTATCTTATATGAGTTATATTTACATAGTTCAACTTTATTTAGATAGAATGGAATCTAAATGAAAATAGAACTGCTTTTTTGATCGCATCAAACAAAATTCTACCATATTATGCAGGATTTTGCTCTTAACAGGATCTGTTTCAGCTGCATACAGTGAAAAACAAAGCAGCAATCATGTAAAAGATAATAATCAAACAGTTTACTTTGAGCAGCACGTAGGATCACAATCAAACCGATTTGATATTCATCATCAGTTTGAGCTAATCTAGATGCATGAATCTATCTATGATAAAAGAAGAAAACATGAACGATTTTGACAGCTTATTCTTGAGAATGTATGTGGAAAAAAGAACAGGCTCATATTCACACATTCATGATTCTCTTGGCGTTCTAAGTTATATACTAATTCAAGAATCCTTTCCTCTGCAATTCATCACGGTTGACAGATACGTATCTGAATGTATTGTTTATATCATAAGTAGAGGGAATATTCACAGTAAAGTCAAAAGTTTATAATTTCAACGACCATATCTATATAACATCATTCTCATTCATAATTGTACTCCAGTATCGGGCGATCGAGGTTGGATGGTTCTTTCAGAATTTTGGTGATATCTTTTTCAATTATCATTCTCTGAACTCTAACCGTTCCCCCGGAATATCCACCATTTAATTCTTTACAAAACCTACGTCACAAGATTTTATATACAAAGTTAACTGATAATATTTTAAGCAGTAGTCTCGACTTGTTTAAAAGTACCAACTTTTGGAGCTCAGAAATCATTTCTTCAGATTTTCCTCTGCGGGCGCTTGCTCCCCAGACACTGGCCCCTAATTGTATTTGACAAAAATGTTAATCAGCACGACATTAAAACATTTATTTATTAATTTGAGGGTATGGGCGTATCAGTGTGAGTGTGCCAGTGCAAGTATGGGCAAATGGCTTTCGTCTTCATTCACCCACACCCACACCCTCAAGATGGATACATTTTCGACAAACAAATTTGTTTTCTTACAACGTCTTGCTTACTTATGACTAAACTATAAATGCAGACAACTCTAAATAAAATTCTGACGGACAAAATTGTCACGTGTACTCCGTAAACATGATCGTTTTTCTTCCTACCATTTACATGA